TAAGAGCTCTGCCCAAAATGCTGAATATGTATTTTTGCCGCCCAAAGTCTTAGATGAGGAGAAAAGCCCAAACAAAGGAATAAGATCTAATAAGGCAATAGCAAACAGGAAAGTGGCAAGGAAGTCACTGAAACTAATACCTTCCACCCCCAGGCCCAGCGTAGTAAGAGCTGGACATTGACAGTTTCTGAGAGTTGGCTGACAAGAGTCAACATTCCGTAGAAATTTCTCGGCAGTTTTCTGCACTTACTACGTACAGATTTGGAGGACAATAAGGCTCAGATTGGTAGCAGACAGACCTTAAAATTATGTAGGACTCAGGAATGGTTGATGTTGTAACTTTCATCCTACACAAAATGCGAAGTAAAGCAGGTGCATAGCTGCAAGCCTCAGGGCTCAAGTAACTCGCTATGATGATAAATTTCCCTTCGTCAAACCAGAGCGCGACTTGAGTCTACTTCCAAATGAAAAGACTGACACAAGCGTGGTTTAAATAGGCAATTTTACGAGGGCATTTGTGGTTTTCACTTTACGCATACACAGGTGCGCCTACTCATGACCTTTATCTAAGGGTGTACGAGACATACACCGAACTCGATGCTGAATTATATAATATGACTGCACCTCCGCTACTCATGGAGGACTGCGATCTTTTTAAAGGGTCAAAAGACGAGTAATAAAGGGGGCGATGTGTCTTCAGAATAAAACATCTGATGAAGGGCTGAAGAAATTTATTTTCACACCTATCTACCAACAAGAATACAAATAACTAGAGTCGCCCAGTTAAAGTTGTTCTACCATAGGGCCACTGTGGTCTACGATGTAGCGGCCCTCCGATGATGGATTATCAGGGGGTTAAGAGTCGAGCACTCCCCCACTTCTTTTCATCTAGATTTTGACGTCCTTGCAATTGTTTAACAGCACCGTCCTCGGAAAGCTTTAGGAGAAGGCTCGATAATGATGCAGAGACAGTGGGGCAGCGTCGAAACATCTATCACTTTAAAACTCAAACGCCACACCATCAGTAGGTCAATACGTCTTTTTCAACCGTCAAAACCCTCTGGTCTTACTCTTCCGACCACTCCACCTGCTCATTCACTAATTTAATACTATTATTGTCATTGGTTCTAATTATCTTTATCCATTTTTTGAGGTTTTACATATCAGTTGTCATTGTGTATCCGTCTGTATTCTTTTTAAGCACACATTTTCCCCCTTCAAGCCACTAGCCTGAAGTTTCTGCAGCAGTGTTTATTTTTACAGGATGGGGTTACTAGCCCATACGCAACCTTTCCTCTTTACCAGCATTATTTCTGGCTTAGAGGGATAAAGGAATGCGTCGGCCGGGGCTCGAACCCCGGATCATGTGTATGGTCGGCGAGCGTCCTAACCGCTGTGCTACCGACGCACATAGTCTACTGTAATGGTGTAGGGGTGTGATAGAGACAATGTGTTCTCACATATTCCCACAGTTCAATGCGACATTCGTAACATAATACGATATTTCTGTTTGAACATTCTACTTCATGTCATTGAATGTAAACCAAAATCACACACTCAGTGATTGGTTAAAACATACAAATTATATAATAATAATAATAATGTATATTCTCATATAAACATATAAATTTACATGAAAATGCATGCCATTTTTACAGGCACGATCAAGTATGATATAATATCAAATCGTAGATTGTCTACAAGTTAATAATGTTTCAACAGTTAAATATTTGATATATATATATATATACCATTGTCTGAACTAGGCTGTATAGTTATTGAATTGTACAATTGTCCTCCAGGTTGAGCGGGAAAATCGACTTCGTTTCGTTTTCATCCCGTGGTTGTCGGCATACGATAACCAACCAAAATTGAGGTAAGTACAACGTTTACAAGGGATTGAAAGCTGTTTTAGAAAAGTAAAAGTGCTGAGGTGAATCATTAAATTGTAATGAAATAGGTAAGTGCAAGTATCATTAATAAATGCATTAATAAAGAAAACTCCCTAGGCTGACAACGTTCATTTGCAATGTATAATGCTACACGTATATCTCGTACTATCATGATGTCCACTTTTGGTTTTAATACATTTATCCTCAGTTGTGCCAGTTGTTTTTGTTTTATACCTTTTTGTGCATTTAATGTACAACCGTACCCTTCAGAGAGTAGGAATATAATAAGTCATAAAGAGCTGTAAAATGTTAGGTTTAATGGGATATAATGAGGATCAAGTAAAGACGTTATTGGAAAATGAATGAGATAAGACATTGTGAAGTGGTATTTAAAGATCAGTCAATGGACAGCAAGTTAGTTTATAAGATGCCCCATAAATCTGTGCAGATCCCACATGGTCGCATCTCAACAATAGGCTGAGCGAATAGTATATATTTGAAGGTAGAAGCATGATCTGTCAAGGCGTTCATTATTATCTTTTTCAAGATAAAGATCTAAGCCCTCATAAAAATCAGAAATATCTCGAGCCTTTAATTTGTATATTGCTGTTCCTGCAGAATGGGGCGATTCACCTTAGTGACCCCCACCATATCTACTGATCAGCTAACGCCACCCTCCCTCCTTTTTTGATGTTAAGCTCTGAGACTATGATTATTATGGCTACCGCAAATATATTGCTTGGTACCAGACATGTTCGTACCTCATATTCCATCTCCCTAGCTTTCTTAATGAGTGCTTCCAATAGGTCTCCGCGTACATCTTTATGAACATTATATATGTATGCATGCGTCCTAATGAACAGATTACTTTACAAGAAGTTAGAACCTTAAAGAATAAAAAGAATAGGTTTTGTGAATAGTGAAGCAAGATTCAGCAGAACAATATAGTTAGGGATCAATGTAGGTAGTATGAACTGAAGGTAAGGTCGGTTGGCAGGACTTAGTGTACTAAATTATCATGACAGTCTTATATATAGTCAACATTTGACATTGCAAAGTAACCTGTCTACATATATTATAAAAAGATATTAACAGAACCAACAAAATTTCAGCATTTGTTTAACAATACTACAGAAGGGTAGTTAGTACTACAGGTAGTCGTAAAGTAAATCAATCTATGTATAATAAGAGCATAGTCAGTGTCATAATTCGTATTATCAAAGAATACATTAGGCTCAATAACTGAGTGTTATAAGGGAAACAAGCATGGTAAAGCAAGAGAACACTTGCCGCATAGCTATTTTAATCATTTTAAGTATTTTAATGACAATCGAATTTCAAGTATTGAACCTACATAATTACTAAGTGTTATTATATTGGTATTGGGACTAGTGTACTTTCCGTAGTTAAATATTGAAAAGCCATTGTCTCTCCACTCTACCAGCAGTTGAGATCTTTGAGGCGGGCTAGGGTGGACATGTTTATATGTTTTTCTAGGCTCCTTTTGAAACTGTCAGGCCTTTCACAGGATCTTATCTCAGAGGGTAGTTGGTTCCAAAGTTTGCAATATTTAATGGTGAAGAAGTTAGCTCTAGTGGTGAGTTTATGGGTGTTAACCTTGAGAAGGTAGTTGTGGTTGCGTAGTCCATACGATTTAGGATTAGCCCAGGTTATGGACGAGTTACTGTTACAGTGCTTTCTTATAACTTTGAATAAGAGAAATAAATTGCACTTCACTCTCCTTAACCATAAGGGCTCTAAGTCCAGTCGAATACATCTGTCAAGGTATTCTATTTGCTGACCATAGCCTAATATGCGTTTCGTAAGGAATCTTTGGACACTTTCAACTTTTTTCTGTCTGCTGATTTAAAGCTACTGTATAAGTGGGCACAGTATTCAAGTTTGGGGCGAATGCATATCTTATATATGGCTAATCTGGCTTCTGGAGTGTAAAAGTTGCGTAGCACAAAGCCGGTTAGACGTTTACAATCAGATACCACCTTATTTGCATGTTCAGTAAAGGTAAGATCTGAGTATGTTATCCCGAGATCTGTGACTGTGTTTGTGTTTGAGACAAGGTCACCGTACATGTATAGACACATGCTAGGTTTCCAACGTCCGAAGTATGTTATCCCAGATTTAGCTGGATTGAACGTTAACTGCCACTTTTCACTCCAATTACATAGACTATTTAGGTCTTCTTGGATTTTACTAACAATATTCATATCATTATAGTCAAAATCATAGACAACTTTGAGGTCATCTGCAAAGAGGTATGGCTTGCCATACTTGATCATAGAGACAATATCATTTATGAATACAATGAATAGGGTAGGGCCAAGAACACTACCTTGTATCACGCCGCTGGTTATCGGTTTGGATGTTGATAAGTGATGGTTGACTTTAACTAACTGTTCTCTTCCTGTAAGAAAGGAAGTTATCCACTCAAGAAGCCTTCCACTTATTCCATAAGATAGGAGTTTCAGTATGAGTCTTTTATGTGGGACTTTATCAAAAGCTTTCCTAACATCTAGAAATAATGTTGCTGCCGAACGACCTTTGTCTACACATTCAGTAATGTGATCGAAATAATCTAACTGGCACGTAATGCACGATCTTCTATTTATAAACAGCGCTTTGATCAATGAAAAATACACCTTTGCTTCCGTGTCTTGCCTTCTGCCGTTACAATAATATCGATTATTACTGCCATCATTATTATTATCCCCCCTTTTGACTGCACTGAGGGAATAAAATGTGAAAGCAACAACTTTATCTACAATAGTAACATGGTCTTAACACACAGCATACTGTGAGACACTTATAATCAATCACAGTACTACCCCCTTAGAGTCAACCACAACTAGAACAGTCGAGAGGCGGGACAGACAAAGCAGTCATCTGTAAGACATGTTAAGTTCGGTGGTTTTCTAATGTTCAAACTATACTTGTCTACTTTCAGGTCGGCTACGAAGTTTGCAGGATTAGTTACCCAAGACAACACAACGGATGACCAATGGGAGTGCCCCTTCCCTCTTATCTAATTGTATTGCGATTGGTTGTATATATGATCCTTGACCTTAAGTCTTCGTTCTCACTAGCACGCGACACTTGTGTGGTCATACTGCTGACGTGCGCTTCGCTCTTTGTTTCAGATCTTTGCTTGACGAGTGGGATTAAACATCTGCTGAATATCAGAAACCTTCGCTTTGAAACAGAATAAAGAACACAGAGAAATTCGTTTGCTTTACTCTGGCTCGTGAATGCGAGACTGAGTACAAGAACCTTGAAATGGGTGCCGTTTATGAATGATATTCAAGGTCGTTTGGTCTTTACTAGGTTAATTGGTAAGTCAAAAAATGGTAGTGAACTTTACCTTTATGTGTTAGACTAAAAATTAAAAACGAAAATTATATTATTTTTTATTGATGATATGTAGATGCTTTGTAATAAAGGTAAAGGATATATTCTAATCTAAAAAGAAGCATATCCTTCATAATGCTTAGAGCAGTATTTCTCTGGTTAACTTCATAAGAATCGGTTTCTTGCCTTCGCATCTATCTTCTGCACAAAGTGGTGCTTCTGAATATTATTTAGGTATCTTTGAAGATGTTAGAGTAAAGTATGCCTGAATATAAATTTTTGAGGCAATTTAGAGGCTCTGGGGACTTTTGGCCTTATTTATGGATTTTTGAGGGAAATGATGCACCTACTCGGAGGTTTTGCATTGGATCGCTGTAAAGTTGCCCCATAGTTTTCCATTTGTGACGACTTAGGAGAACGCCCAGCTAGCATTTTTTTCGGGTGCATTGCAGACTCTTCGGGGCAGACTTAGGGTTCAATGCAGACTTGAGGCGCATTGCAGACATTTCGGGCATACCTAAGGCGCATTGCAGACTTTTTGGGGCAGACTTAGGGCAAATTGCAGACTCATTGGGACAGACTTAAGGCAAATTGCGGAGTTTTTGGGGCAGACTTCGGGACAGTGTCCCACGTAAGTAGATCGACCCGAAGTTTTTTGTCCCTAAAAGTCTGTAATGCGCCCCAAAAAGATGCTAGCTGGGAGTGAGCTGTGCCCGTATTGCTGTCTGGATAATAAGATAACAAACATGAATAAGACATGTCGATGTAAAGGAGTAGTGATATCATATGGATATTTGGCTGCAATATATTGATATGTATACAGATATCCTGATTTCCGTTGTCGAAAGTCCATGCCCCAGCTAGCATTCTTTTCGGGCGCATTGTAGTCTTTTTGGGGCAAAACCTTCGGGTAGATCTACTTACGTGGGACAGTGTCCCGAAGTCTGCCCCAAAAGATCTGCAATTCGCCCTAAGTCTGCCCAAAAAGGTCTGCAATGCGCCCTAAGTCTGTCCCCCAAAAGTCGGCAATTTACCCTAAGTCTGCAATGCTCCCAAAGTCTGGCCCAAAAAGTCTGCAACGCGCCCGAAAACAATGCTAGCTGGGACGTGAGGGTAATTCATGCATTTTCTCAGTTCACCTCTGCTGAGGTATTTCCCTTGAAAATTTAAAATTGTCTGCGACCAAAACTATATATGATTGTTTCACTGGTGGGCTTCTAGCGGTGAATTCTCGATAGGGAAATTTTTGCGTAGACATGAGTAAAGTAAGTAAAGACTTGGGCGATTTTCTTTTCGAAGATGAGAGAAAGTAGGCCGTTTTTGGAAGTAATACGGGTAAAGTTGGAAAAAGTAGATATTTTTTCAAGGCACATGGAAAATGTTTGAAAAAGTGAGTTTCTCGGTCAAAGACGCGGAAAATTGGGAATAAACTATGGTATATAATATACCTTGATATGCAATCGTCTCGATGGATTCATGTACCGAAGTCCTTTTGGACAAACAGTAAGGTCTACATTGAGGAACAGTGAGACATTCTTAGGACATATAAGATGTCATTACTGCGTAAAGCTATTCACCTTACCACCTACTTTCATTACCAAAGAAAATCTACGAATTATACATTTTTATTGTAAGCTTTAATGGTTGTTTGCCTAGGGGCACTTTTTTGGTCGTTATCTAGGGTAGACATAATTTAACTCTTAAATAATTTGCTTTTAATAATTAATGTACCTAATACCATAATTGCTAAATATACTTTTTGGGAAAACCCTTTAAGTCATACGGACTTGAGTAGGCAGTTCCATAGAAAACCTAGAAATTTTGGGGAAGACGGAGATATTTTTGTTTATTTCTCCCTCTATCAGTGCATTTACCTACCTCAAAATAAGCATTTTTTCTATGCGGCTATGCTTATGTGTATGGTTAGACAGATTATGCAGAAAAATATAAGCAAAGATAAAGATGACGTAACCAACTTAAAACGAAAAAAAATGCTACAACGCATATGTCCAGGTCGTGTAGAGCTTATTTAGAACACAGATTATTGAACTTTCACAGTGTAACTAAATTTAGTTACACAATTTAATAGGGCTGTAAAGCTAGAGTATTTGAGATAACGACCGCTCTAAGCCGAGCTATCTTTTCAATTGTGACTACAAACCACATTTTAAATGCCAGTCTACTTTTCAGTGGGAATTAAATAGGTGTAAGTGTGATCCACGTTAACCAGTATAGCTTACAACCAAGTAGGTTGTCAAATTCATCTAGTGATTGTAACATAGGCTACCTCTACCTTTACATCATCTTTATTAACGCCACGGAGTGTGGCGACTTGAACTTCCGCACATTTGTGCAAAGTTCTATGTCGAAAACAGACAGACAGACAACGCTTATGCATAGTGGAAGTAGGTCAGCGTAAACCAAACAAGTTCACAAACTGTCAAACCCATTGTGTGGACAATGTGAGCATGTATAAGTTGATTGGCTTTCTTCGTTTTCTTCTTATTGAAAATACAGAGGTTAATGGTACATTTTGTGATCGTTTAGAGAGGTGTACACCTGTTCATTTTTAATGGTTTTCAAAATATCAGACGTTTCTTTAGCCTAATTTTGTGTTATTATTATTACTATTGCCTCCTTTGGTTCCTAGTGGAACATAGGGCTTCAACTGCACGTCTCCACTTGCCACTTCTGTCTTGCTTCTGCTGTACTTTTCACCTCCATCCATGTTAGTCCATACTCTTTCAACTCCTCTTCACACCATCTCCTCCATGTCACCCTTGCACTGAAGTCCTACTCGCCGCTTCCCTTTCGGTCTGGTTCCACTCGAGCAATGGCATGACGCGCGCGCAATGTCACCCAGCGGCCTCCTCAGCGAGTGTCCAATCCATCTCCACTTTCTCCTGAATATTTGTTGGTTGGCGATTGGTTTGTTCTTGTTTTGTTTGTTCCCATAGTTTCTTGTTGGTGATTCTTTCCGACCCGGCCATCTGATCTTCAGTATAGACCGAAGACAGTTGTTGGTAAAGGTCTACAACCTGTTGGTTGGAGATATTCTTTGTGATCCGCCAAGTTTCTGATCCGTATAGAAAAACTGACTGACTTGACGCTTGTATTGAAAATCCGAATTTTGTTGTTGATGCTGGCTGAGTGATGAAGATTTCCAGATTGGTTTCAGGTTCATGAATGTGTTTATCGTTCGCCTTCCCGATTCTCGATTTGACATCCCCGTCCGTTCCTGCTGTAGTTGAGACAATGCTCCCTAGATAAGTGAGTGAATGAAGTGACCTCTTTCAAATCCCTCCCGTTGATGGTGATTGGCGCTGGATGTTGCTGTTGTTGTTGGTTGGTTGATTATTTTCATGACCTCTGTCTTGTCTATGTTCCCCCTGGAATCCTGTCTTTGCTGCTTCTTCGACCTAGATTACTAGCTCGCTAGTTTTTAGCCGGTCCCAAGCCCGGATAAATAGGAAGGGTTGGGGCGTGGTGCTAGCAACTCACCCCCAAAAGTTAACCAAATTGCTACAGAAACTTCACCGCATAAATATATTAAAAATACTAATTTTGTGTACTCTCCCTTATTTCAAATTCTTTTTCATCGACTGTAATATCATCATTATTAAGTAGTGACACTGCCTATATTCCTATCAGAATCCGTGAGTGATTCGTTTATACACATTTCTGTTATGGTAAGTATCCTGGCCTGTCCGAGCTGAGGATGTGCGGCGACTTTGCGTGTTCGATCGTCGCTGTCTCCGCAGGATTGCTTGCGTCCGATGGCATCATCGCGTGAGTAATTCTGAGGTTCGGCGGCGTGTGTTTGAAGACAGTGGAGATCACCATTCATTGAGTGTCGTCATCTGGAAATACCGGCTTCGGTCGCTTGGATATGTGTTGCGAATGTCATCCCAGAGGCTTCCGTACAGGTCTCTGTTTGCTAGCCAGAGCTGGGATGGGATGGAAAAGACGAAGGGGTGATCATCCATGATGTGGCGTAGTGGGATGAAGGATGTTGGTGGGTCACGACTCCCTGGTTGGGGTCCGCGAGATAGCTCGAATCGATGGCTTGAAACGTTATCAGATATGGTCAAGAATCGTAATCAATGGAGAACGTGCTGCAATTTCCTCCTTTCTTCCCTTCCTGTTGATAGTTAACGAATACTGTTTGAACTTGTTAAGTATGACTGTTTTCCTTCCAGATGAAGTTCTTTATCCGTTCTCTACTCATATTTTTTACTTTTGACCTATATTGTTGGATTATTATTGTGTGGCGCATCTTTCTTGGTGCCATATTATACCAAGTTTTTTCTGCGTTTAAATAAATAGATATGGTAAGTATTTTTCGTATTCCAACAATGACAATTTATTGTCAACAGATATTCACTAGAATATCGTCTAATTATTGCATAAGAAATAAAAATTATCAGGATTTCATTGATCTATTCAAAATGCTTTTATGAGTATAGTTAGGTCAAAGCAAAAGCAGTAACTAGCCTACTAGATGGCTGACGAGTATCGACTATTCGAATAGTCGTCGTCAGTGAAATTAATTAGTATGTCAGATAGTTGCTTTCACTATTATTTGTGCTTCGGTTTCATTAAGAGACAATTTTGATGCTACTTATTTACATTTATAACAGCATCTGATTTTTAGGCTGTTATAAACTGCGGGAAATTATGAAATGAAAAATGTCAGCCTCTTTTTGTTCTGTACATGCCTTTGTTGTTGTTTTAGTTAAAATTGTAGTTTAATATCAAAAAGCTCTTAATTTAACTGATTTTCAACTAGCTAAATGTTATCCACATATTTTGGAAGACATGAAAAGACTAGCTGTCTTCAATCATAGGTGCCTGCGTTTTATCTCCCGTGTGAAGTGGTATAGTAGGGTGAGCAATATTGAGGTTAGGCGTCGAGTGCTAAGTAAGGAGGGGAAATCAATCGACGAGGCTGTGAAATTACATCGACTGAGATGGTTAGGACATGTGTTACGTATGCACCGCTAGCCATCGATCGCCTTCTTCGACAATAGGCAATGTTAGCTGACGTAGTATGGATCAGGTTGAAAAAGAGCTAGCGGCGGTCAAACCAAAACATGGCACCAGTCAATGAAATCCACAACAGTTAGTTTAAGCCAGCCAGCCATGTAGGAAGGTGTAGATTGGCTTTCTGGTTGGGGTCATCGGGACGGTAAAACCCAATTAAGGCTGGAGACATTTGATGATATGGCTCAAAATTGCTCTTATTGACAGAGTAGATGCATCCACTCCTTGTGACTTATAATTTCCAATGAAACTATATTGTTCTTCATCATTATTATTCCTTTTGTCTCATATTTCTGGCTACGGTGTCTATTCTGCATTTCTTCTGCTCTCTTCTCTTGCTTTGTGTGCTACATGGAGTGTGGTGACTTGAACTTCTGTACATCGGTGCAAAGTTCTATGTTGAAAACAGCCAAACAGATCCACATCTGTCCACTAAGTCCTAATATTAGTTCATGTCAGAAGTTTTGTTGACTGAGATGATTGTAAATTTTTCTTTTTCTATAGGTTAATGCATATTAATTAAGATAATGGCTCTGGATCTTTCAAGTGTAAACGATACTTCTTTCGGAGATCCTTACTCAAATACAATGTATAATAGTGTCTTTTTATCCTCGGATGTGATTTCCTTCCCTGGGACAAACGATATTCTATTCTATATATCTGAAGTAGGTAAGATTGCATATTTACAATGTTTTAGCAAATAAATATTACATTTAGGAATTTACTAATGAGACATATATAAGAATAGAATTTGAACAGTGTGTTCGAGTATAATTCCATTGCAAATTTATTCGGTGATGGGACTAATGAGACAGTTAAATTATCCTTTTGACGTGAATAGTATATATATATATATATATATTGTTGATATTAGATGGTTGGAGGCAATCGGCCACAGGACACATTCGACCGAGGTTTCGTGCCAGTTGGCACTCATCAGCAAGGCGTATCTGCAACCTTGAGTGAGTTCCTTCGAGGTTGGAGATGCGCATTGCTGATGAGTGCCAACTGGCACGAAACCTCGGTCGAATGCGTCCTGTGACCGATTGCCTCCAACCATCTAATACCGACAGTTCACACTGCACTGTGATGGTGTGCCACCTAGTGGCATGGTGTGTCCATATTGCAAGCTTGACTGATAGAATTCAGCCCTCATCGACGATAAGACTAGACACGCACACATTACACTGGTTACTGACTAGTGTGCAATCAGTTTATATATATATATATATGTCTGCTTCGAGTTATTTGAATAAATGCGTCAACTTAAATTGATGCACTCTAGTACGAAGTTCAGTCATTCATTGACTATTCTGTCACTTCACGAAGTCCGATATCAATTCTGTCAGGTGTAAATCACATGCTACTTATTACAGGAAAGATCTCAAGGAACGTTGCAAATATCCTTAGATCGGCTAGCATAAAAATGTTGGCGAGCTCCTGATTTTTGTAACTACTATATAGGTAAAAAATTTGTGAGTATTTCCTAAGAAACCACTTTGCAAACCCAAATTTAGTTTCTTAACCTTTGTATCAGTAGAGCGAAACATTAAACCAATTTATGTGGATCTTGAAGGTTAATTTTAGATATCTGACTCATTGGCTTAATCACTCGATTTACAACCAGTTAGTCTCAAGTTCCATTCCTGGTCTACCTACTTCAGGCTGAACATCTGGGTAGCATCATCAGCCCTTCAAACATTATGTTTAGCTCATAGCTAGATTCCACGTAATTGAATGCAAACTGGATGCTAACTTGAGCAGTATCAGTCAATTTCAACTACCTGAGTGGAATTGATAAATCCTAAAGCTTTTTGACTGAAGTCTCTTGTTTTTCTAGGTTGGTGACAACAGCTCAGGTACATTTGTAATTGTCAGGCTTTTGCTTTGTACATATTGTTATTGAATTCTATAATAGGTAGAATATGAATAACAAACATACACAGAAAGACGGCAACACCAACCAACACTAGGGGGAATTAAAACATCAGTAGTGCTATCCGTAAAAGCTGGGAACCTCTGAAGTCCTACATAGAAGTCTTAGCGCAGCAGGAATAAAGGTTGTTTTCAAATCCACAAACTCAATTAAAAACAAATGATACCATTTAAGGGACAATGTAGAGCCTATTAAACGGAGTAATTCAGTTTATCAAATACCCTGAAATGATCATGAGTTTAAATACCTAGGTCAAGGTGGTAGTAGGATAAAGTAAACTAAATTATTGGAGCACAAAAACCTAGTGAAATCTGAACACTAGTTGACTGTGATAAGATACGAAATCTAGAAAATAGCTCAACTGTAGCGCTACATTCAGTTACACACAGTCAAACAATGAGATGGGATAAAATTGCAGTCTTAAAAAATTTAATGTAGTAGGATGGAGGGGAAAAGATTGATAAGTGAAGCTTTATTTGGATAGCGTTATTAGAAGACGGAGATTATCTGAAAAATGCGATGTGTTTGTGCTATACATTTCGAATAATCTGATCCCTCACACATTTACTTTATCAAGTCGACATATATGAAAAATTAAAACAATTAGTCCCTTTGATAAATTTGAACAAGGCATTAAGCAGACAAATTTCGAGAGATGATATCATTTCGTAGTTTCTTTACAACCGCTTTACAACTAACAAAAATCAATAGACTTCAATCTTCGCCTACCCTGGACTGCATGACCTATCTTCATATGATTGGTCATTAGTATGTACTTTTGTTTTTATTTAACTGAGTAATTTTCATGAACTTTATTTTATCATTGTTAACCATGTTGTTATAAATTATTTAAAATTAATCCCAGCGTGTTAAGAAAATCAAAACAAGATTTAACACGCTGGGATTAATTTAAATAATTTATAATGAATCAATCTAACTCGGCGCTCAAATTATTCCAGGAAATTCGTAACACCTACAGTCTGGAAACCTATAATCTTGTTAACCATGTTAGTTGTAAAGCGGTTGTAAAGAAACTACGAAATGATATCATCTCGCGAAATTTGTCTTAATGCCTTGTTCAAATATATGAAAAAGTTAAATTAAACTAAGTGACAAAAAAAGATTTGAGGATGATTAACACAACGTTTGGTAAACCAATCAAATAAGGATTACCAAGGTGGGTTAAGAGTAATAATAAACTGTTTTCGAATACACAAGGGGGGCTTAAGTTTATGAATAGCCTATAGCTATAGCCTCAGCGTATTTCAGTAAACGCCCTTGACCATTTTTGTAGATGACCTTAAAGGTTGATTTAACATCAATCTTATGGTTCATCTGGGTTAGATGTTTAGCTATAAACGAAGTTGGTAGTCTGACACATGCATCTGTTGGTTTACCACAATTCATTTGCTTTTCTAACCATTTTGGGATATGCTCGCTGTCCCCCACCCTCACATGCGAAGCACGATTATTCCTCCCTATGTATGTATGTCCACACACACACACACACACGAAGATTGGTAAATATTGTGGGATGTGACACAATCACTTGTGCACTTTTGAGGTTTGCAGTGAAGCATATTTTTAGCTTTTTCGACAGTTACAAGCTGGGCTGCTTAATAGGTTCTACGGATGATCGAATTCAACCTTTGTCTCACAATCCTACTGTTTATTTCCCCGTTATATCGTAATCGCGGTATGGATTGTAGGTTTAGAGATTAATTGACTTCTACACCTGTTTAAAATTTTTAAAGAATATTCGTTTTCAACAAGAGTATCCATCAATATTTCGTTTTCTTTGTCTATAACATCAGCCGTAAAAATACGTTGAATCCTCTAAAACAGACATTTCACCAAGCCTCTCTTATATTGTAATGGATAGAAACTGTGAAAATTAAGGTACTCCTCTGTCCAAGTGGGCTTTCTGTAGATTGATCGTCTTATTGAACCATCATCTCTTCGACTCAGAAGTATGTCTAAAAATGCAAGCTGGTTGCGACTTTCTTCCTCGCATAAGAAGACTAATATGATTCTGTACGAAGTTAAGTCTGTCTAATAGACGACTCTCATCTTCATGATCGTCACATATCAAAATGATATCATCTACATATCTCCTATAGAAGGGCAATTTAGAAATTAAATCAAGGGACAGGTTCTCAATATAAGACATGTAAACGTCCGCTTTATTTATCAAATTGACTGAGAACACCTGCATTAGGAATAGTTTAACAGCTGTCCCGTATATCCGGAAAATTCTACAAATGGCAAAAAGAAGGATGAGAATTGGAAAAATCAGGTTTAGAAATTGTGCAGTTTCATTTGATGATATGACTACGAATCAAAACTGTTTGAAACATCATCCGGTAAATAATACTGTCTCACTCTGCGTGTGTGCGTGTGGTATCCAACAAAATAATTGATATGAAAGTTTTACTCCCTTTTCCCACAAGATATTTATATTCTTTAAGCCCACTGACTGATTTCCAAACTAATAATTGCAAATAATTATTTTGATTTCATCATGAACTGACATCGTCGGTTAGAGAACCATTGGAAAACCCCCAGGGAGTACTGAACAGCTGTTCCCTCCAAGTGTGGGACTCTCCAGCAGTATGCATCCACCGGGGTTTGGACCCAGGACCTTCAGGTTACAAGGCGAGTGAGCTCGTAGACCACTAAGCCACTGGGACTCCGGTGGGTGTGTACTGAGGAAGAGTCCCAAACTAGGCCGAAGCAGTTGTCCAGTCCTGGTTTTCCAATGGTTCTCTAACCGATGATGTCAGTTCACGATGGAATCCTGTAATCAATCAAATCAAATCCCTGCAAGTCATAACACTTCAATATTTTGATTTTGTTCGACTAATTTACATTTACATATAATAGTATAAAGCTGTAGTCTGGTAAATTATACTGTTTCGCTGTGTGATATTTCTGATAAACAAATTAATGTGGAGTCTGTGATTTCCGGCCTATCCCCAGTTAGCCCGACCGATAGCTGCTACCTTGACGTGGTGGTTGGGCTTGCACATCGCGATAACCCAACAAGCGGCACTGGCCGGAACCAACGTTCCTGCAGGTCCTACCATGCCAGGAAGGTTGTTAGGATAGCGATTAGACTAAAAGCAGCTACTGGCATTGTGTAAGAATCTTTCTTGCACTATGCTGGGAGTCTTAAGGGGGAAGTCGTACTGCTGGGGAACAGGGTGTAACAGCAGTGGGGTGTTTCCCTCAGATGACCAGCATGCCAGCCAGCCAGCTATGCTGTCTCTCCACTGCGGAGAGAGAGATGGGGTTAGAAAAGGTCGACCCCAAAAATTGTACATCCCGACTTACCCCACCTACGGTGGTCCGTAACCGGCGGTAAGTTGACTAATGCGGAACCAATCCCAGAAGCCAGTTCATACAGGCCGTGTGTCACCGGCCTCAAGCAGTTGTCCCTTGGGCTCTGTGGTCACGCAACACTAACCCTCTCTCGGTTTCAGGTACCCGAAGAACCAATCAACTTCCACGGTGTGGGCAGCGGGAAGTAAAAACCACCCACACACTTCCAAAAGCCAAAAAGCCTAACCAAGAATTCATGTTTAATCGTTAGTATAAGTAATACCTTCCATTGTATTTACACTACAACTACCTCTTTTTTGTTTCACTACACGTTGTATTATTCAGGTCATCTTATCTTAGCAAACTTTTTTGTTGAAAATTCTAATGGAAGTTATATTCTCAAGAAACTTCCATCTGTCAAATTTCCACAAACTACTTCAGGCGTACCGATTAATGTGTACTCGGATAAAGGTTATTCGAATCAAGAAGACTGTTTGTTTTCAACTTCAACGAATGGTTGTTCTAGTCTATTCGACTTGAGTACACCGACTAAATTCGGATGTGTTGATCTGGATGCACAGCTTTCATCGTCTGCTGCAGATCGTACAAATGTTTGCCATAGTCAAACTGGTGTACAATGGACTACACCTAATTCATCATCGACAACGACGACGACAACAACAACGTTATTGATCAACTCAGATGTGGAACAGGCTGTTGCTGCTACTACACCTCGTCGACAATGTGAAAATGACTCAAAAAGCTTGCATAGAAATGAAGTCGACAATGAGTCACCATCTACTACAAGGTCGAAATTCTTAGGACAAATAGGTAATAAAGGTTTTACTAATAAACTGAATCTTTAACTACTTATTACTATTATTGTCATTATTACTAATAATCCCCTGGGGTTCCGATTATTAGAACATACGCCTTCAACAGCATATCTCCATTTGATGCCGCTCTCTTCAGTTATCTTTACCTGGCTCTATGATTACCCGTACGCTTTCATCTACCCCACATCAACCTCGGATCCATGACCAACTCATCTGTTTCCATTCAAGTTCAACTTGACGGCCCGGTGCACGGTGTCACTTAACGGTAACCTTAACAGTGCGTATCTAATCTTTCTCCATTTTCTTCCACTTTTTTTGTCGGCCAATAGGTTCTTGGTTCTAGGCAATCGACAGAAAGCCTTGGACCTAGGTTTCGTGATAGTTGACACTCATCAGCAAGGCGTATCTGCAACCTTGAAGGAACTCATGTCCCTTCTGAGATTCGAACCCGTGTCACGAGCCAGTGCCGCAGTCAGAGACGTTACCGCTGAGCTATTCGGGCTGGCTCGCAACTGACCTCTTGTAGGACTGTAGTGGGTATTTTGATTGGACACCAGTAACTAGTGCGACGTGTCTAGTCCTTTCTTTCTTTGGTCCAAGGCTTCCTGTAGCCGATTGCCTTCAACTATCTAATATCATCAAATCAATGCGCACCGTCGGTGGCATAGCGGTTAGGACGCTCGCCGACCATACACATGGTCCGGGGTTCGACCCACGGCCACCAACGCACTCCTTTACCTCGCTGAGCCAGAAATAAAAAAAACTCGTAAAGACGAAAGGTTGGACATGAGGCTAGCAACCCTATCCCGTAAAATAAACACTGCTACAGAAACTTCAAGCCACTAGCTTGAAGCCCTATGTTCCACTGGTGAATGTGAAGGAAAAAATGTGCACCTTGATGGTGAGCTACCTAGAATGGTGGCCGCATTGCAAATCTGACTGATTGATAGAATTCAATCTGCACCAAAGAAAGGACTAGACACGTCGCACTAGTTACTAGTGTCCAATCAAAAAAGGTTCTTAGTTCGTTCGTTTCCAGATGTGTTTTTCGTGTGAATCCTTTATGGTCCATTATAATCCGCTCCTTATGACTTCCAATGAAACTGTATTGATCTTCGTTATTACTATTCCTTTGTCTCACACATCTGTTAACTGTCTGTATTATACATTTCTTCTACTTTCTTCTCTTGCTTTGTGTGCTACATGGAGTGTGACGACTCAAACTGTCGCACATCGGTGCAAGTCCTATGTCGAAAACAGATAGACACTTACGTGGTTCCGAATGCTTTTAAATGGTGTCGGTAATCAATAGATGGTTTAATTTGGACAAATCTTAGTTTTGCCAGCTGATTGATTTGTCTTGATAGTTTTGCATTCCAGAAACATGCTTTTTAAAAAAATTTTTATTATTTTCTAACGTATTTTCAAATATCGCAGATTAATCATGTTCAACCTCTTTCTATCTGTCGTTTATAAAGTGACCATTGATTTTTAATTTTTTGTTGTTGTGGTTCCCAAAGATAATTTTTTCATGCTACTCACACACTAGTCGATTTATGCACATTCAGTCACTTAGAAGATTACTTGCGGCTCCTGTAAACGACCTTATACGACTGAGGTTGTGTAGACACTGATCTTCCTGTCGAAATGTTCTTATGTGTGGTCATGCGTCCGTAGCCCCAGCCAGGTAATTCCTACCCACTGCTCTCATGCGGTTAGCAGTAGGGATGTTCCTCACAAAAGTGGAAGGATGATTGCCAACGTCTGGACCATGCAAGTCTACTTAGGGCAACTGGAAAGGCAGCTGATTCCAAATCTGTGCTATACACAAGAGTTGCAGAGTCCAAAGGGGCTTAAAAATGGTGTGTAAATCACTGTTTTAATCACTGACAGCCATAGAGACTCGACTTCTGACACTGCATCACTCACTGCCTTATGGATCAGAATACAAAACAAAGGATTGGAGGTTGGCCCCCACGTGCTTCAGCCTGGACGTTCGGGCAGTATCCCAGCTCTTCGATCCCCGGCCGACGGACTCCTTTACCTCGCTAAGCCAGAAATAATGCTGGTAAAGAGGAAATGTTGGGCATGAGGCTAGCAACCCCATCCTGTAAAAACTAAACACTGCTTCAGAAACTTCAAGCCACCAGCTTGAAGCCTTCCCTATGTTCCACTGGGGAACGTGAAGGAAAAAAATTATTATCACCAATAATACACATTTGAATCTACTGGGAGGAACCTACTTCTTGAAAGTTGTTTATCTCCTCCACTGATGAGTAATAGGTAAGTACGAAACTTTTCTGTTGATAACCTCTAATTGTTGAGCAGCAAAAGTAACCGAACACATTCCATTCATCGTGATCTAAGTAAATAGTTTATTATGTTTTCTTATATTATTTATTTTCCTTTCCAGTTTCTGAACTGTTAGAGAAATCAAAAACTAGGATAAATTCATCTGAGAGTGACGAGATTATTATTCATGGGCATAATTTATCCGAACTGGAACGTTTTGTTAATCACTTTCGACAGTTTCGATTGCGTCTGGGATTATCACAAGTACAATTGAGTTCACAACTAGCAAAGCATTATAACAATAAAGCAATATTTAGTCAAACACTTTTATCTAGGTCAGTCTATGTGTGTTTTAGATAACACTTTGAAGTAACACTATGTGTCTATTTTCTTGATCTACTATGCTACTGAGCATTAGTTTTTAGAAACAGTTCTTTCCCAACAGGTATTTAAAATAATAAGCAGGATTTAATAAATATATTATATTTCAATAGAACTCGTCACCTGAATACCCTACATACGAACTACGAAAAGGCAACTATGGGTAGCGCCGTCTTTCCTCCTTTTAATGGACCTATTCAGACGAATCGCACACAAACGACTATCTACTGGGATCCAGTCAAGAAGTGATTTTTCCGCCCTACACCTGCGAGTCCTCGCAAGCTAGTTGAGGGCTCTCCTGACAGCCCTAAAGTGAATTTTGCAGATTCACCTTGTTGACCAGGCGAGGTTAAGTGAATAACCACACTCGGGTCTTGTATGCGTGTCTCCGAAACACAACATACATCCATGGTTCGAGATGCCAGAGTTTTCGCTAGTGATGCTTGTTGTCCGATTTCGCAGAGGATCCTGAAGTCCTATATGAAGTTGGTGATGTGGCTTTAAAAGGCTATCTGGGGTGTTTCTATGGCTCTCATCGTTGTCTGTGGTCACAGAGTGAAGTGAAGATGACTCATTAGCCTGCAAAATAGTACTAACTGTAGTAGAGAAGCAAGACGAGGAAGGTGATGTGAGTAAAGGAGAATGATGTTCAGGAAGTCTTCGTGTGCTTTTAGAAGTTTGTAGGCGGTTGTTACTTCCCGCCTGCCCACACCGTGGAAGTTGATTGATTCTTCAGGTACCTGAAAGAGAAAGAGTGTTGCGTGACCACAGAGCCCAAGGGACAACTGCTTGAGGCCGGTCGGTCATACACGGCCAGTATGAACTGGTTTCTTGAATTGGTTCTGTATTGGTAAACTTACTGCCGGTTACGGGATGTAAAATTTTTGGGGTCGACCTTTTCTAACCTCTTCTCTCCGGAGTGGAGAGACAGCATAGCTGGCTGGTTGGTTATCTTAGGGAAACACCCCACTGCTGTTACACCCTTGTTCCCCAGCAGTACGACTTCGCCTTAAGACCCCCAGCATAGTGCAAGAAAGATTCTTACGCTATGCCGGTAACTGATTTTAGTCTAATCGCTATCCTAACAACCTTCCTGGCATGGTTGACTTGCAGGAACATTGGTTCCAGCCAGTTTACCCTGTCGTGTCATCGCGATATGCAAGCCCGACCACCACGTCAAGATAGCAGCCATCGGTCAGGAATACCCTACATATCTTTCAAAATATGCGCCATGTGTACTTTTTGAGGAGAGATAATTACAAATAAACCAATAACAATTAATCGATCGTAGTAGTATAATCGTTTGAAATAATGTGTTAAGTTAAGGCATTGAAGGAGTTTCCCGGAGGTTGACAATCAAAGTAGTATGCGGTAGAGTTAATTAAAATAAACATTTAGTAACCGGATCCTTTTTATGAGAGTATAATGAATAATCCTAGTATTGTAAAGAGGAAAAGGTCTATAAGGCTCGAAGGCCATGTTCATTAGGCACAAACGCATTGGTATACCTTATGATTAAACCTTTATTTGCACATCATTTACAAATTGATCGACTACCACCCAATACATTCGATAGCTTTTGGATTCTGCAGTGTTGTAACATTCTTCTCTTTTAGTTCTGTTTTTCGATTGCTTTTTCCAATGGCCAAAACAATTATTGTTACTTTCCTGAATTCGTTTACTAATATACTACTTATATCGGATTATAAGTAGTACTCACCACAGTACAACTGTTCGTTCAATAGATGATATAGGCTAAAATTCAACGCAGAAGTAAGACAGGGGTGAAACGATTTATATCCTTAAAAATAATAATGATGATGATAAAAATAATTGACGCAGTTAGTTAGACTTCGAGAAGTCTGTCCGCATCATTTTGACCACTTAATAGAATGACTTATGAGTGAATACTGCTGACAAGTCTCAAATTCGGAGGGGAAAGCTATCCAGAAGTGATTCCTGGTTTTTTCAATTGTTCTCTAACTCATATTATTTGATAATTGGAGAACACACAATTTTAGCATATACGTGCTTTTGATAATTGCTTGTCAGACTTTACGAATACATAGTACAATGTTATTCATGTAAGATGATGTTACAGGACTGGACTACACTGACTACTAGTTTAGAAATAGGGAGTGAAGTGGTAGAGCACGTTGACCGCTTCACTTATTTGGGAAGTACCATCAGCCCCAACGGGTTGATCTATAACGAAATCTCAGTACGGATACAGAGGGCTAGTTTCGCATATGCCAGTTTACGCCGTCTCTGGCTTAGTAGACGTGATATCCGGCTGGCTATCGACCAAAGGGCGGGTGTACTGCTCATCAGTCCGTCCCGTCCTCCTTTATGGCTGTGAGACCTGGCCATTGAGAGTGGAAGACATGAAAAGATTAGCTGTCTTCGATCATAGGTGCCTGCGTTCTATCTCCCGTGTGAAGTGGTATAATAAGGTGGGCAATATTAAGGTTAGGCGTCGGTCGAGTGCTAGGTAAGGAGGGGAAGTCAATCAATTAGGCTGTGAAATTACATCGACTGAGATGGTTAAGATATGTGGTACATATGCCCAGTCATCGCCTTCCTCGACGGGCAATGTTGGCTGACACAGGATGGATCAGGCTGGAAAAGGGCTAGCGGCGGTCACTCTAAAACATGGCTGCACCAGTCAACGAAATCCACAACAAATAGTTTAAGTCACATAAGAAGGTGTAGACTTCCCGGGACGGTAAAAACCGATGAAGGCTGGAGGCATTTGATGATATGGCTCAAAATCGTTCTCAATGACAGAGCAGATGCATCCACTCCTTGTGAGTTATGATTTCCAATGAAACTACATTGTTCTTCGTCATTACTATTCCTTTTATCTCGTATCCCTGTCTGCTGTCTCTATTATGCATTTCTTCTACTTTCTTCTATTGATTTGTGTGCTACAAGGCGGGAGTGTGGCGACTTGAACTTCTGCACATCGGTGCAAAGTTCTATGTTGAAAACAGACAGATAAACAATGTTATCCATAGAAGTTTGAAACAAATGTACTTAACAGAATTTAAATTCAAGGAAAACAATAATAATAATAAAACGGATAAATTCATGCATGTTTATATCGTCTAGTCAGTCAATCATTGTGAATGCGTAAGCGAAACATGCATACTTGTAGTGGTAGAAGGCGAAAAATAACTTTTGATGTGCCATATCGTGAAATGGCACAATTTGGAACTCATGAGCCATTGGATCACAGGTCTTAATGGTTTCATGGCCTACGAGCTCCTCCACCTTGCAACCGGAATGTCCTGGTTTCGAACCCTGGCGGTGGGTGTGTACCAATGAAGAGTCCCAGATTAGGTTGATGAAACAACTGTCCAGTACTCTAGTGCCTGTTTTTCAATAGTTCTCTAACCGATGTCAGCTCCTTATGAAATCCTATAACCAAAGATGAGCGAGTGTTTGATTTTATAATAAATAAATTGTAAAACTAAGACTGAAGTATGCAATTATAAAGGTACGAATAAGGATGATATTTACAATCATCCAGTGTGATTGGGAAAGGAAACTATCGGAAGAAGGCTGACTGAATGGACAAGCGTTTTCTTAACACATAGATTGGGTTGAATACTTTTTATGGTAACTAACCTCAGCTATTCATTCCGATCGAAGAATCGATGTGGCACCTTGTACGGAATTGTAGGGACTGATTTTTATGAATCCTGCGCTCCGTATCCATTAGGTGTGCCAGTTTGAAATTCCTGATTGACTTTACGACTTCTTTACCCAACCACGCTCGGCAATACTCAAGAAAGCGACGTTGGGTTCATCGAGTCGTTTTACTTGTGTAACTGTCTCTAAGAGAGCAGTTAAATTTATCACTACACATTGATAAAATGGTCACACTCTGTAGCTTATGTATATCACCTGCATTGGTGGTGAGTTTTTAACATAGTGCTGCAGCATAGAATGTTTTAGCTGTTATTTTGCTGAGTTACGTTGTCAGGAATTCAGTAGCTACAACTCCTACTAACCACAATGGTTCCGAATATGTATAATTAATATCAACGTGATGTTTTAATTAGAGACTCGTAACTAGTGCAACGTGTCTAGTCCTTTCTTTGGTGCAGACTGAATTCTATCAATCAATCAATCAGGTTTTCAATGTGGCCACCATCCTAGGTAGCTCGCTAGCCATCACGGTGCACATTGATTTGATGATGTTAGATAGTTGAAGGCAATCGGCTACAGGAAGCCTTCTTCGACCAAGGAGAGAAAGCACCAAAGAAACGACTAAACACGTCGCACTAGTTACTAGTGTCTAATCAAAATACCCACTACAGCCCTGCAGGAGGTCAGTCTCGAAGGCTTCCTGTAGCCGATTGCCTCCAACTATCTAATATCATTAATGTGATGTAATTGTGAAGCCTAACAAGCGATCACCAATTGCGTTCTATAATTATGAGGAATAGTTTAAGCGGGAGACTTGATAAAGCTACAGGAAGGAGTCTACTCTATGCTTCACAGATAACATGTTTTGCAGCACTAATTAACCAGTATTACGCGACAGTGGAATTCAAAAAAGACACAAAACACCCATCCTTGACACCTGTAACTGAGCCTGTCAGTTAGCCAGTGTCATGTGATGTGTAAAACCATACGGCATTCATTTTAATGTGTTTCATTGTCCCCCATTGCATTTGAAGATTTTCTGTGAAAAACAAGTAACCCCCTGCCAAATCAATATCCTCATTTTTTTCAAATTAATTCGTGACTTGCCAAACATTCGTGTGGATTGCTTGGCTGGGTTCCTCCAAGATTACAAAAACCGGTGGCTGCAGACAACTGGTGATGTGACTCACAATTGTTCTTAATGGCCCAGATGCATGCATTCACTCTTTCTGATCTGCGATATCCACTAAACCGTCATCTTTTTCCATGTTTCTATTGATTACCTTTCAAATTTCTCCCCACCACCCCCCATCGTAGTTCTTTTGAATCTCTTTCTCTGTTATATCTACCAGTCTAGACAAGGAGGCTAAATTTGTCCGTTGTGCCTTCCTAGACTATGCATCTGCTTTTGACTCGGTCCCTAGGGACGTCTTATTAAATAAACTTGCTGCTAGTCAAACAGAATGTTGGGTTGTTAACTGGTTACATTCCTATTTCTCAGAAAGAAAGCAGTACAGTGTGTATAAAGGGAAGTCTTTCACTCCATCGCCTACTGAAGCTGGTGTCCCTCAAGGCGCTGTCCTTTCTCCGTTTCTTTTTTCTTTCTTCTTACATGACCTGCCTTACTCTGATGAAATAGGCTTTGTGAAGTACGCTGATGATTTAACAGTTTCAATGGCTGTTAACTCTCAGCTAGATTGTACCAAAATAAATAGCTTTCTATCGGGAGTCAGCAAATGGTCTGAGTCAAACGGTCTTAAACTGAATCCTTCTAAGTGTCAAACTGTTGATTTCAGCTTAAGATGTAAACGACAGTGAAAAGAAGTCATCGATTCTCATGACAGTTGTAAAATTGACGACAATGATATAGGAATCAAATCAAAAATTAAGTATCTTGGACTCATTCTCTCTTCTGATCTCTCCTGGACTTCCCATATCTTAGCAATCCCCAGTAAAATATTCCGCCTGACATTTTACATTAAGAAGTTAAGGCACTCAGGTGTAACTCAACCCCTACTCTTACAGTTCATAAACTCTTGCATCCTACCTATTCTTCTTTATTGTTCACCCTTATTCTTTCCTGGTTTGCTTAAAAAGGACTATGTCACAATTCGTAGAATGCCGAAGACTGTCAGTAGGGTGAGTGGTGTCCCAGTGGACCACATTGTTAACGTCGTTGTCAATAGGCACTTGACTTCATGCAATAAATTTGCTAGAGGGATTTTGTCTGACTTGGAGCATCCACTTTACCCTCAACTTTCACCTTGCATCTCCTCAGGTAGAACAAGAAGTAATTTCAGGAAACTGTATGCTCTCACGTCTAAGTACAAAAATTCTATGATACCATACTTGTCACGTATTTTATGTGATGAAAATAGTGTCAGGCAAGAATTAACTAACCTTTTTTCATCTAGTAAATAAACAATTTCCTCCATCCATCCTTATATACCTTCAAGTTTTACTTTTATTATTTCTATTATATTTATGGTCCTGTTACTTCTTTGTTTTACTCTCATAATTGCAAACACCGACTTATCTCTATGACTGCTGTAATTCTTGTTTTTGCCCTCATCACATCATGTAAAGAGAACATTATATTCAATATTTTTAAACATGCTAGGATTTCTATACCGCATTGACAATACTGTGTGAAACAAGCCCACTGCAATTTTCACGTATATTATTATTATTATTACCTTAGGTGTTATCATTATTATTATTATTTCCATTTTATATGCTGCATGATTTTGACACTACCTCTATTGTAAATGTTGAAAATTTTCTGTGTGATTAATTTTATTTATAATTTGAAGAAATTAGATGCAATATTGTGATTAATGCTGAAAATTTCATTCTGTATCACAACTACTGTTTTTGGAATAAAGGATATCATTATTATTATTATTGTTTGCTACATGGAGTGCGGCGACGTGAACTGGTGCACTTTTGTGCAAAGTTTTCTGTTGAAACTCAGCTAGTGAGTCAGTCGACCCTCCCACCCCCGCACACACGCACACCTTATATTCTTTCTGGTATGGCTTACATATATGCATATATTCAACTAATAACCTATTTGGTATTATTCACTTTCAGATTTGAAAAACTCAGTATTACCGTTAGATCTGCCTACCGATTATTACCTTATTTAAAACGTTGGATTGCTCATGCTGAACAAAAACAATGCAGTAAAATTGTCACAGAGAAATTACCAGTCTTCCATTGTTCTATTCCTGTACGCGCTGTAGGCAATGCTCGAGTTAAAATGTTAGCTCGTCTAGGCCAAAGTCATAGCAGTGATAATAATGATAATAATGCTGAAAATCCAACTGTTTTGGCTCTTGTGACAAAACAAGTAATACCTTCTTTTTGATATTATTATATGATATAAATTATATTATATTGTACTACATTAAACTTTGATTATCCTGTTTAATTCAGTTTAGATTTTCCACCGATTGATTGGATCGATCGATGCTCGGTCTCAGGTTGACATGTCCGGCTCCTTCCTAGTGCTGCAGAGGCTTCAGCGATGTTTGTTCATGTAGGCTGAAGTCAATAGGTGATGGTGAGATAGAGTACTTCGGTCCAGTCAATCGATAGGGAAATCTAAATTGAATTAAATAATTAATAAGAAGACCCTTTGCGCAAGAGGTGGTTCTCATGACCTACTGGTTTGGTGGATAACGCTTTGGTGTTTGAAACTATGAGTGCTGTGTTCGAGCCTCGGTGGAGACACCATCACTCAATGCGGAATGCAGGTGCACTCAGATGATGAGTTGTGAATTGGACAGGCGAAATGCGCATCATGGATTCCACCAACTGACTTTGATTATTCTGTGTCTCCGTTTTCATCTCAATTTAGTCTTAATCGTATTAAATAGCATGCAACGACAGAAGGCAAAGGCTAGGCAACAGATCGTTTATTGAGAAAATCAAGCGGTATTTATATATCTTTATGTACATTACTGTTAGCGAAGAAGTAAGCTCTCCTGTGATTGGTTATTTTCCTGCTGAAGGTTATTATTAAAAAGTTAAGCCATATACCTGCGAATCGTGTTTGCACACGTTAAGTCTGCTGTGATTGGTTGGTGAGTTCGTCAAGGTTAAGCTTTGTTCTCGCATTTTTCCTCATGACCCTGATTCGGGGCGTGATCACTGACGTAAATTGTTGTCTACAATTTTAGTTTGTTCTCAGCCAGCTCTCACCACAAGTATACGAAAGAGTGAAATAAGCCTGTTTTTATAAGTTAACTTTGACTTCGCCGTTGATCGTTTGGACTAAAGTGTTCGACCTCTGTTGACAGTTTTGCTTCTAGTACATCCGCTTCAGCGATGTCTCAGGATTAACATCAAGTAATAATAGTAATTTGCTTTATTCCAAAACAGTACTTGTGATACAGAGTGGAATTCTCAGCATTTCACTACAGTATTGCATTCAGTTTGTACATTAACAATAAATAAAATTCTACATAGATTAAGGAAATCTCAGTTCATTATGACAACAACATATTGGTATGTCGGTAGCAAAGCCAAAAATTGAACAGTGTTTTGAAGGTGTTAGAAAAGTAGATGCTGGCATATTTGCTGGCGTAAGCGGTAACAAAAAGGTCGAGATATACAGAGTGTGAAAGAACGAAGATGAATGTTTTAAGTAGAGTTTGTAAGGAAGAGAGAAACAAAACAATACATAACAAAAAAAGAGAGAGAAAATGAAAAGAAAGAAAGAAAACGTTGTACCTATAAATGATATGAGTTGGAAAGACGAGATCCAGTTGTTCTACTGACTATTTATTAAGTTACAGGTATCACGCCTAAAGCTTTCTTTATCTCACAGAGCACGAGCTAAGCAGGGTATGGTTGAGTTTTTTACTTGTTAGTGCGAGCATATAATTTTCCATATAGGCTTCTGGTTCTGCCTGATGAAATACAAGGGTAGAGTTGTAAATGAAGAGGGTGGTGTGAGTTAGATAAGATGGATTTAGCCCATTTTTCACATGAGTCCAAGTGCCTCTCGACCAGAATATTAAAAAGCTGGTTAAGTGGCACGTAGCTTACCCTGCTGACAACCTTTAACATCCTACGTAATAAGGTATAGTCCTTCTTCAGTAGCCCTGGAAAAACTAAGGGGGAACAATAGAGAATAATAGGCAGAATACGGGAGCTGACGAATTGTAGGAGTAACGGTTGGGTTGGGTTCTTCCAGAATGTCTTAACTTCTTGATGTAGAAGTTAAAACGGAATATTTTCTTAGAAATCGTCAAGATATGAGACGACCAGGAAAGATCAGCAGATAGAATGACTCCAAGATATTTATTTTATTTCCGACTTGGTTTCTATTTTAGTGCCATCTATGTTGCACACCTCGTGAGTGCCAACCAGTTTGTTTAGGTTACATTTATGCCTAAAGGTGGAATTGACTGTTTGGCATTTAGAGAGAGGGATTTAAGGTAAGACCGTTTTCCTTGGACCACTGGCTGATTTCTGATAAAAAGCCACTTAGTTTGGAGGAGTCACTTTGACATTTGACAGGCAAAGATACAGTCAGGTCGTCGTTAGTATATTTAACAAAATTAATGTCATTTGAAGATGGTAGGTCATGTAGAGAGAAAGAAAGAAAAGAGAAGTGGGGAGAGTACAGCACCTTGGGGGACACCAGCTTCAGTGAGTAGCACAGCAGAGGAGGATTTACCTTTGTATACAGTGTACTGCATTTTGTTTGTTGGTGGCTGACTGACAGGTGTAATCAAGGATGCGCAATCTGTCCTATTCGGGACTTAACAGCTGGGTGTATTTGTAATCTTAAGTTTAAAAAATGATGGATAATGGGTCTGATTTTCCAGGAGGAACACTATCAATCATTGGAGATTACAGGTATATCCAGGTGAAGAGTTATAAATGGGACGAAATTCCGCTGCTGGTCACCGTCCACTAAATTACTCCATGAAATAAACATTTGTTGGCACTGCTGATAGCTTAGCATTAACAGCTTTAAAAACTATCGGTGTTTGCCAAAAACAAAATGTTTAGTCCATTAACTTCATAAAGTGTGTGTATTACATATTAAGAATATCCTTCTAAAAATATTTACAGTCAGTTTTATTATTATTTTTCTGAGTTGAATATTTGTCTGTATGTCTGTTTGTTTTGTCTTTTTTTGTTTTCAGGTTAAGAATAACAATGATGATGGTGATAATCATGATGTAAGTAGTACTCCTTCAGTTTCAGAGAATCTCAGTCCTGATGTCTCTGAATCAGCGTGTAAATTAACAGATCCACAGCAAAAACGAAGACGTCGTCGACGGACGTATTTTTCCACTGAAGCTCTATCAATACTGACAGAGTTTTATGCAAAGAACTCTAGACCGAAAGGTAAGCTTGCATCGAATGTGCTATTTTGCTATTTCAACGGCTAGATTTTTTTCCTTCACATTCCCTTGTGAAACATACGGCTTCAAGCTAGTGGCTTGAAGTTTCTGTAGCAGTGATTATTTTTACAGGATGGTGTTGCTAGCCTCATGCCCAACCTTCCCTCTCTATCAGCATTATTTCTGGCTTAGCGAGGTAAAAAAGTGCGTCGGCCGGGGATTGAACCCCGGACCGTGTGCATGGTCGGCAAGCGTCCTAACTGCTATGCCGCCGACGCACAACGGGTAGATAACTATGGTTATATGTTATTATTACTCCGAATGGAACGTCGGTGGCACAGCGGTTAGGACTCCCGCCGACCATGCACATGGTCCGGGGTTCGAGCCCATGCTTACGCACTTCTGATATATATGGTCGGCCTGCTAAATTTGGGCTACCGATATCCATGCTGAAAATTCCATAATTGTACCAAAAATACAGTATGGAATCAAGCTGTAATCAAAAATAAATAATAGGTCTCCAACAGTACATCTCTGTGTCATCCTGTTTTCAGCAGTTTTTTTTAGGTGGCTGCATTTCCTCTTCACATGATCATCGCTTAGATGTCACCTTTTGAACCCTCAACAAACTTGTCGTTTCCCATTCGACTTCTACTTGGGGGGAACTGGCGCCTCTGATGTCAGTCACTCAGTGCCTATCCAATCCACTTGCGTTCCCTTGAAAATATTTGTAGGGCTATAGGTTGTTTTCGGGGTCCATACCACGTTGGAAGTACCGATCCTCGTCCGATCACCGAAGTTAAGCAACGTTGAGCCCGGTTAGTACTTGGATGGTTGACTGGCTGGGAATAGAGGGTGTTACCGGCTTTTTGCGTCGGTGGCATAGTAGTAGAATGTTCGCTGATCACGTCTCGCGTAGTCCGGGGTTTCGCTCCCGGTCGACGCTCTCCTTTGCCTCGCTAAGCCACTAATAAAAGACTGGTAAAGAGGGAACGTTGGGCATGAGGCTGGCTATCAATCACATCCCGTAAAAATAAATACCACTTCTACCGAAACATTAAGTCTCTGTCCTGAAGCCCTATGTTCCACTGGGGACCTATAGGAACCAAATTAAATATTAATTGAGGAGGGTGACTAAATTATGTAAAGTTTAGGCTTTGTGGTAGTTTGTAAATCCAGAATAATTGATTAATTGGATATCACACGCATACTCCTAGTGAAACAGTATTATTCACTGGATGAAGAAGTCTCAAGCTCAGTTGTATCTACAGGAATAGAAAGCTGGATTTTTATAGTTCTCATCCTTCTTCCTTCTCATTTGTCATAGTGGTAGTAGAATTTTCTACGTGTGCTGCACAGGTAGGTATTGAATCATTCTTATTGCATGTATTCTCGGTTGTCTTGATAAATAAGGCTTCAGTTATCAATCTGCCCCCACCCCTCCCACCTTGTTATATTAGATTCTAAGACTATCATCTTGTCCCATCGTATTGTGTTTAATTGCATATAGTGCTGTAGCCGAGCTATTATCTAGATTTGTTATCCGATTCAAATCTAACTAGCCTAGGTCTTGTTCAGGCCTTGTGTCACACTAATCTAATTGATCCCCTCCTAATATCTTGGCCTATATATCTGACCGCAGGATAATTGCAGTGTATTACATAAACCAGATTATCTTGTTTAACTATTTCCACTGTTTTCAAGTGTTGTTTTTATAGGGATATTTTGTGTTTGATTGCATGGTGTATTTCATCATGAGCTGACATCAGTTAGAGAACCACTGGAAAACCTGGGTCCCATTGGATCAGGTCCCAGTGGCTCAAAGGTCTATGAGCTCGCCTTGTAACCAGAAGGTCCTGGATTCGAACCCCCGCGCGTACGTACTGATGAAGAGTCCAAAACTAGGGTGAAACAGGTGTCCAGTACTCCCAGGTTTTCCAATGGTTCTCTAACCAATGTCAGCTCATGATGAAATCCTCTATGAAATAATTCCACTGTGTTGTAATAGAGCATTAGTGTTTTGTTGATTGTTATTGTTTTACTTGACCCCTAGAATGAATCTCCGGTCATGACACTGTAGCCAACTGATCACCCGGAAGTATTCCGCCACACTGAGAGGTAGACACATAAGTCGGATTTGACTGAGACGACAACTGCGATAACAACAACTTTATTATCAGAAATATCCATTTCCCGATACGAGTTTTGAAACAAGCAACAAAAGTTGATAATAAAGGGGAAAGTTAATGGATCCATCGAATTTCGGTAGAACTACTTTTCAGCTGGATACTCTGCGTACAGGAATATAAAATTAAGATAAAATGCATTACATGGATAATCCCCATTCAGGCATTAATAAAAAAAAACACATAGATCTGTGAAGAGACTTTTTGGCGAATTCATTTTCTCAGCTGTACAATCGCAAATATATACATATGTGTTATTTTGTATGTATGTGTACATTAAGTTTGTCAAACAAAAATACGTACAATTGGTTATGGTTATTTTAACTAAACGGGCGAAGATTGGTAATACAAGTAAAAAAAATTAGGTGTTAATGAAACTAGGATAGTAACAAAGGTGATGAGTTGTCACAAACAGTTGTTAAAAGAAGTTATGTAATAATATGAATAGTTTGATGAGTGAGTTTTACTCAGGATACACATAGGAACAAAGCAGATACTTCATGCATTTATTCCCCTTGATGAATTTGAATAAAACAAGAACAACAACGGTGGTTTGTGCAGAATAATATGGTACCATCATTTATTTTATTAGCTTAACATCAGCTGCTTACAGCCTAAATAAATTATGAGGTTTAAGTACAGAAACATTTTAACATACTTGCAAATTTTACATGTTGTCAATTGACAGAAAGTCCCACAATTAGTAAACAGTGCTCAGAAAATTGCGCTTATATAGTTCGTACACAGGCAGTTTAAGTTAAAACAAAATAAATGTATGCATATAATAATATATTGATATGTATCCATATATATATATATATATATATATATATATATATATATGGTGGTCTGTCTTTCTTTTGCTCTCTTAGTCTGTGACCATTTCACTTTGATGAACCTGTCTCCTTTAACAATGTATATTCCCCTTATATTATATATAATATGTGTGTTTGTTGACATGTCTGCTATATTTTGTTATGTATATATGGATCGATACTCCATTATAATTAGCCAATCATGTTAAGACTGTCTATTGATTTGTTCACTCACTTGTTTGGACATTCATATATATTTTTGCTCGCACACTCTTGTGTGAATTGATTCTCCTTGTGTTTTGGAAAATAGAAGTATCATCGCAAACCTAGTGGTCTTCTGATTTCCATCTTTCTTGCGTCAGGACTATTAAATTTTCGACCAGTACATAATTTGGCGACGAGTACATAACATATATATACCATTAATAAACGTTGGCTGACTATTTATGCCCTGTTAATCAGTTCACGAAAATTAACCCATTTATTCAGAAGTAAAAACACAGTTCCTCTTTTTGTTCAGCGAAGAAATTCCTTTTCAACGACTTCATTTTCAAGCCAACTGTACAGTCGTATTTATATTACAGAAAAAAGGTTATTAAGTGGTACTAAATAAATGCTCAGCCAATATATATATACATGTGATAAGAATAACGATAATTAAAATGTTATAAGGGATAAAGTTGAAGTGGATGAATTACAAAATTATTAATCACTTTTTTATAAGTGAACTGATACAAAACATATTTTTTTAATGTCGTCAAGCGTTGTCT